AGATTGAACCATGCCCAGAAAAATGATAATCTTTACTATTTTGGAGGCTTTTTGCTTCGGTTTAACCTAATTTAAAACATATGCTGCTTAGCTGGTTTTTCCTTTTATTTTGTTGTGAACATACAATTATTTAACTATTGCAGCAATTGTTATTGGTGGAAAAGTAGACTCGCTGCATGGATTAATGATATGCTGACATGTAGCATACGAGTCAAAACAATAAAGAAGAGTTAAGATTAGAGAAGGCATGGGTAAAACATCCACAAAATTATTTACAAGGATATTGTATCTAATAGCTGGAAAAGTAAAAATAGGTGCAGGATGGATAATTAAAGACCACAAGTAAAAAAAAGGTTATTTAATAGCCACGAATATGGAGAGAAATCGGCACAATCCCTGATTATGCGCGATTTGTTGTTATTACCATAACCATTACAAATTACTCATGTAACGGGTAATTAATGTTAGTAACGGGGGTGTATGATATTCCATGGCCTCTAGAGATAAAAAGTTTATGACTTCCTCTCTCTAAAATGCGATTCTCTCTCAACGATAGCTGAAAATGGCGAGAAAATCGAGGACTGGAGGTGGAGGTCAGAAGATCCAAGGAAGTTAGACAACAAATTCAGTGCGTATGGGAGTGCAACAATCGGGAGATGCGAAGAAAGTGAAAAGTATCAATGCGATCCAAGGAATCATACCTTTGGATATCAATCAGATTTCAAATCCAACCACACCACAAGGAGGGAACAAGAGGAACGATGAAATTCCAGTGGTGAATAAGGCATCATGGGCAAATCTTGTCGAATGAAAGCAATGGTGAACAAAAATACAGGTTTGACTAGAACCCTAGAATCAAGTACTAAATCATGGAGCAATGTTGGGTTCAATTCCGATAGAGGAAGGTCTAGACCTAATTAAGGAAAATACTGAACTGAATGTGAAAATTACAATGGCGGGCATTAAGGATGAGGTGGATTACTGGACAACAACGGTTGTGTGCTATATTTTAGGGTCTAATCCATCACAAGTAGTAATTGATGGATATTTCAGAAGAATTTGTGGAGCATTGGGGATTGACAAAGTAACACAATTAAATAGAGGGGTATTCCTGGTGAGATTTTATAGTATTGAAAGTAGAAGCAAAGCAGTGGAAGAACGTGTTCAAATGTTTGATAGAAAACCAGTAATTGTGAAGCCATGGAAGCCAGATATGGAGATCACAAAGGAGAAAATGGAGAACATTCCTATTTGGGTGAGATTGATAGGGTTAGATATCAAATATTGGGGACAAGTGGATCTTACAAAAATAGTTGGGCTGATTGGAAAGCCTCTAAAGGCAGATGCTGCTACTACAAAAAGGAAAGACTAACATATGCAAGAGTGTTAGTTGAAGTGAAATTGAACCAACAATACCCGTCAAGTATTAGATTTGAAAATGAGGCTGGAAAAATAATAGAGCAGGTAGTCCATTATGAATGGAAACCTGTTCTGTTGAGAAATGCAAGAATTATGGACATAACATTTATGAGTGTAGTAAATTTCTATAGGAGGAAAGAGAGAAGAATGAGAAGCAACAAGAAATGAAAGTACAGAAGGAGGTAGTTCAACAGAAAGAAGGGAAAGAGATACAAAAAGATCAAGCAAAATAAATGGGAGCAGAGCAGCAACAAAAGGGAAAACAGGGGGACAATAAGCAGCTAGAAATGGGAAGGAATCCAGCTCAAAATCATGGGTATAAAGTTGGGAAGTATGTGAGGAAAGCAGTGGTGGTGCAAGAAGCATCATTGAAGATAGTTATGCGTTTGCTACACTAGGAAAACAACAAAATGAAGAAGAGGCAAGTACAAGTCAAGCAGGGCAGAAGATGGAAACGATGGAGAATGGTAATGTAGGAAAAAGGGGGGCTGCAGTTGACAAGGATGGGGGAACCCACCAACACATGGATAAAATTGGCTTTTGGAATTCCAGGGGGCTAAATAATCCGGATAAACAGAAGGAAATTCATCTGTTTATGCATAACTCTCAGGTTGAACTATTTGGCCTCTTGGAAACAAAGGTTAAGAGAGCTAAGGCTCAGAAAGCTGCTCTTAACCTATGTAATGGATGGTCCTATAGTACGAATCTAAGTCAACATGAAGGAGGAAGAATATGGCTCTTATGGAAGACTTTGGTATTTGATATAAGCATATACAAAGTCACAGAACAATTAATACGTTGTGGAGTACATCATAGAGGAACAAGAAGGAAATTTTCAAGAACAATGGTATATAGATTCAATGATGGTGCACTAATAAGGAAATTATGGGAGGATATCAAGGAGATTCATGAGCATATGGATGAACCTTGGGCAGTCATGGGGGATTTTAACTGTGTCCTACATAAAGAGGAAAGGATTGGGAGCCCAGTTACAATGGCAGAAATAAGAGAATTCAAGCAATGTGTGGATAAATGTACATTACAGGATATGAAATCTTCAGGGGCCTTCTTTACGTGGAACAACAAACAGGGAGGTACTGACAGAGTATATAGTAGGATTGACAGAGTGTTGATCAATAATGAGTGGATATTAGCTTTACCAGATTCAGAGGTATACTATAGGAATGAAGGGACATTTGATCACTGTCCTGCAATAATTAGATGGGCAGTAGATCAAAAGAAGCAGCATATGTTCAGATACTTTAACATGTGGAGCATGACACCAGACTACAAAGAGACAGTAAAGCAAGGGTGGAAGACAAACAAAACTGGGACCAAAATGTATGAGTTGGTGGGAAAACTAAACAACCTGAAGGGGAAATTAAGGCAGCTAAACAAAGAGAAGTTCAGTCATATAGAAAAGAAAGCAGATCAAGCACAAGAAGAATTACTGCAATGTCAACAAAGTATTCAGCAAACACCTCTTAATCCGGAGCTACAAGAGGAAGAAGCAAGGCTAATCAGGAAGACTAAGAGGTTGATTGAAGCAAGTCATCAATATTTGAGGCAGAAAAGTAAGGTGCAATGGCTGGAAAAAGAGGAACTAAACACCAAATTTTTTCATAGTATGATGAAGGCTAGAAGGAATATGAACATAATCTTCTCTATAACAGATGCACAGGGAGTCAATCGAACTGAGGTGGATGCAATTTCAAAGTCCTTTATTGATTTCTACACTACTTTGTTGGGCACTACCAACAAGGGAAGGGAGCATGTCAATAGTAGACTGATTCAGCAAGGACCAGTAGTTACAGAAAAAAATGAACATGTTAGAGGAAATGTTTACAGAAAGAGAGGTTAAAAAAACCTTGTGGGAAATCAATGGAGATAAATCACTAGGACCAGATGGCTATAGAAGCAATTTTTTTTAAAGATAGCTGGGAGGTGGTAGGCAAAGATGTAGTGGATGCTATAATGGAATTCTTTAGAACTGGGGAGATGTTAAAGGTACTGAACTATACAGTGATAACCATCATTCCAAAGCGCTCTCATGCTACAAGTGTGGGAGATTACAAGCCTATTGCAGGGTGCAATACATTATACAAGGTGATATCTAAGATGTTATGTAACAGGCTCAGATTGATACTGCCTACACGGATTTCTGAGAATCAAAGTGCATTCATTGCAGGAAGAACCATAGTACAGAATGTTCTGATATGGCAAGATTTGGTAAGATTGTATAACAGGAAGAACATTACTCAGAGTTGCTTAATCAAGATTGATCTCAAAAAAGCATATGATAGTGTAGAATGGTCGTTTTTGGAAGAAATGCTTCATGCAATGAATTTCCCTCAGAGATTCATTAAATGGATCATAACATGTATGACTACTACTCAGTATAGTATATAAATGGAGGACTACATGGGAGTATAACAGGAAAAAGAGGTCTAAGACAGGGTGACCCCATTTCACCCTTGCTATTTGTAGTATGCATGGAGTACCTAACTAGAATCTTGAATAAAGTTGCTGATATGAGGGAGTTTGGTTTTCACACGAAGTGCAGGGGGTTAAAACTGAATCACTTATGCTTTGCGGATGATATATTGCTATTCTGTAAAGGCAATTATCAATTAGTAATGTTGATGTTATGAGGTCTGCAGTCTTTTGCAAATGCATCAGGTTTGAACACTAATGCAGGAAAGTCCAATATTTTTAGTGCTAACATGCCAAAACAAGAAATGGAAGATCTATGTGAGGCAACTGGATATCAGAAAGGTTCATTTCCATTTAGATACTTGGGGGTTCCAATTTCTACGAAGAAGTTATCAATCTTGGATTGTGAAATCCTAGTAGATAAGATGACTGCTAGAATAAGGGCCTGGAGCTCGAGGAACTTGTCATATGCTGGTAGAGTTCAGCTACATGTTCATACATACTGGTCATCAATATTTATCCTACCTAAGTCTGTTCTGAAGAAGCTAACTGCAATATGTAGAAACTTCTTGTGGGATGGGAGAGAACAGCTAATAAAGCTCCATTGATTGCATGGGATATAGTATGTAGGCCAAAGCACAAAGGAGGACCAGGAGTAATGGATTGCATGGTATGGAATGAGGCAGCAATTGCAAAGTATGTGTGGAACATTGCTCAAAAGGCTGACAACTTATGGGTGAAATGGGTGGATCACATATACATCAAAGGAACCAGCTGGAAACAATATGTGCCACCAACTGATTGTAGTTGGTATTGGAAGGGAATATGCAATATAATGGAAAAGTTCAAGGGACGATATAGGGGGAATGAATGGAAACAAGTAGGTGAAAGGTATTCTATACAAAAAAGATACCAATGAAGGAAAGGGGAGCTGAATGAGTGGCCCTGGGCTAGATGGATTTGGAACTCTATTAATGTTCCAAAACACAGTTTTGTTAGTTGGTTAGAAGTTCATAAAAGACAGTTGACAAGAGGAAGACTGGAAAAAATTGGAGTATATACAGAAACAAGGTGTGAAATGTGTGGTGGAAGTAAAGAAACAATTCAACACCTGTTCTTCGAATGTCATTTTTTGAAGGAGTGCCTGAGAATTCTACTGGAATGGCTAGGATTGGGAATAAATGAACCATATATTGATGGCTTGTGGAGAAGACTAATAAGAAATGTTAAAGGTAAAATGTGCAGAAAACTCATTATAGCAGTTGTGGCGGCGCTGGTGTACAAAATATGGCAGATCAGAAATGATGCAATATAGAACAACAAAGTACCACATCCAATGCTGATTTGTAAATAGATCCAACAAGAATGCAAAGTTAGATTGAGTATGCAAAATATTAGGAAAGAGGGGAGAGATAGAAGGAAATGGATAGAGGAAATGTTTAGCAAACAAAGATAAGGAAGATAGATAGAGAAATTTTTGCGGCTAGAAGGAATTTACCTCTAGTCTGTACAGTTTAGTAGGAATATGTATATTTGGTTGGTTGGGAGATTAATTATATTTTTCTTTACACCAAAAAAAATATTAGTAACGGACAAGAATTAAGTAGGGCAAAAGAGTTATAAATTGTACCCTGATGTTAACCCCTTTACCATATAAATTGGAAAGAAGCTCCGACTATCAGTAAGATTTTTATTTTTCCAATTCTATCAATATTTTATTTCCATTATGTACATTCAATCTATATTAGGAAAAGCAAAGTAAAATTGGTTATGAGAAACCTGAATTACTTTATTATTTGCTTTGACCATAAAATTTTTTTTTGTTAAACAAATTGGTTCCGTTACCGAAAATTCTACTAATCTTTTCACTTTCTTTTTACATATTTTATCTTTAGCAACAAATTATGTCTAGTACTAATGAAATTATTCATGTTGAAGATGGATAACAAGAGAGGACTCCTCCACACAACACACCCACACATTCTCCACAACGTTCACGAGAAAATTCACCTGTCAGATCTGCTAATCGTAATGCTGGGCAACAGCTTGAGGAACAATCAAATGTTCAGGATGACTTGAAACAGTTCATTGCGCAGCAAATCGGTGAAGCTTTGCGTACTTTCGCAAGTGGGTTACCAGGTATTTTTCAGGCTCCACCACCAGTTAATACGACTGTGGAAATTCCTCATTCAGGGCTTGAAAACTCTGAAAGTGGAGCCAAATAATTCTAGTTTCTAAAATCTAGTTCTAACTATGCAAAAATAGCTCAAAGAGCAAAATGAGCAGATAGAATAAATACCAGAAGTACCGCCTGAGATTAAATGATTGGATATTGATAAGTATTCACAACATCCATGGAAGCCAAGTGCAGCACCATTACCAATACCAAAAAAGTTCAAAATGCCTAGTATTCCCATGTATGATGGGACTACAGGAGTCAAGAGCAACGATTTATCCAAACAGAAAAATCGAATCAGTATTGGTGAAATTTTTTGGGGAAACCCTTATGAAAGGGACACTAACATGGTACTCTTTCTTACCTGAAATCAATTGACTCCTTTGCTGAGCTTGCAGATTTATTTATAACAACACATTCAGAAGCTCAAAAAGTAGAGAAAAGATTGGAATATATCATGTAAAACAAGGGAGTAATGAATTACTCAGAGAATTTATGGATCGATTCCGGCGATAAAGAATGATGTTACCTCGTGTACCTAATAATCAGGTGGCAATGGCATTTGCAAGCAACTTGAATGAGAGAAGTTCAGAAGCCACGAGAAGATTAAAGGAAGTTTAAGGCCATTTCCTACAACTACTTAGAATGATGTTTATAACATGTACAATACAAAGTTACAATGGAAGAAGATATGGGGTCCCAACAGAAGGTGGAGGAGAGGATTGCACCTAGGCGCTCAAAATCAGAAAGGAGATCCGAAAAAAATAGGTACGAACCTTATATGGGACTTGCGGGACAAAATCTTAGGTCAAAACCATAACAAACACGGTTTGACTAGAGATCAAGGGAGAAGGAGGCAGGTTCTTCTTCTCGATTTGGAAAGGAACAAGATACAAAAAGGAGCAATGACCAAAATCAGGAGATTATAATTTTAATGTCAGTACTTACGTTAGTAGCTATATTAAGAGGTATGTGTGATAAAGTGCGATGCCCAAAGGAGGTGATATCAAATCCCAGCAAAAAAAGTCACAAATTTTGGTATGAATTCCATAATGATCATGATCACAAAATAGTAGATTGCAGGCTCCTACAAGTGGGGGTTGAGTATTTACTGAGAAGGGGTTATCTCACTAAACTATTTAGTAACAAAGTAAAGCAGTCTTATATGAAAAATAGGGAAGAACCATCAAAACCCCTATAGCCAAAAAGGACGGTGAATGTAATAACCGAGGGTGAGGAGGTTAATGGAGTTACATACACGGCCACAAAAAGAACAGCCAATATCTTAGTGATCCATAAAAAGTGTATTGACAAGTTTTTGAAGAAGACAACATACATTGAACGATGAGGATGTAGTTGACTTGTTCATCCCTTATAATGATGTGCTAGTAATATCTTTACTTGTTCATGATATTAATGTCAAGCGAATTTTTATTGATCAAGGTAACTATGTGAAAAATATATTATTAAGAATCTTCAATGAGATGCAAGCGACTGATCGTGTGATACCCAAGGTTCAATCTATATTTGGTTTTGACAATTCAAGTGTTATAACAAAAGGGAAAATTTACATTATATACATTTCCAAAGGGAGTCGTGAAATACACCAAATTTGAAGTGATGGATGCAGACATGGCTTATAACATAATTTTAGGAAGACCATTAATTCATGATATGTATGTGGTTCCATCAACTTTGCATCAAGTAATCAAATTTCCATCATAGTGGGGAATTCGTCAGATCAGAGGAGATAAACAAACATCGTTTAAAACCAACACAGTTGCGGTGGCGAGTGGAATGTGTCAAGACAAGGACGGAAAATAGCAATTACAGTTTTCAATTATGGAGAATTTGTTTTGTACCTCAACTGAAACTGCAAGGAACAGAGCAAATATCGATGCGATACCAGACGTGATCCAAGACCTAGAGGAGAATGAAAATATTAAAACAACTACGGAAGAACTCGAAGCTGTTATGTTGTTGTTGTTCATCCACTGGCCCGACAGAAAGGTCTATGTTAGAACAAACCTAAGCCCAGATATAAAAAGTAAGTTAATTGAATTTTTACGCGCTAACACTAATTGTTTTTTCGGGCCGCACTCAGATATGATAGGTACTCTATCGAAGGTAATGACTCATAAGTTAAATGAAGATCCGTTACACCTCCCCCCTCCCTCCCCCCCCCCAGTGAAGCAAAAGAAATAAAAGCAAGGAGAATTCAAAAATTAGGTAGATGAAGTGAAGGTACATAA